GTATAGTGTATATGTATGTATGCATGTATGTATGTATGTATGTATGTATGTATGTACATACCTATATATAAATATACACGTTGCAATGATATCTGTAACATTCATCATTACTAATATGTATTTTATAAATCTATCAATTAACATACTCACAGTCTCTGTCTACTTGAATAAATCAATATTAATATTCTCTTAAAAAAAATATATAACTCGTACGAGCTCACAAATAGTTCTCGATAGGATATAGGTGTGTCCAATAACTACATGTAATTAATATGTCCACTGAGAATTTTCCATCTTGCGTTTAACGCAATTCAATCTGAAAGAGATTAAGTTACCTTATATGGTTACATAGTTATAAATATATGATAACAGAGAGAAGCATATGCTTTGGAAATCTTATACAGGTAGATAACTCAGCAGATCTTTTCTCTGGACTGCTTGTCCAACTGAGTTACTTGAGAATATTTAATTTGCACTCCTCTAGCATATATACGTGTAAAATATATATAAGCGCAATATTTTATATGTACATTAGACATTATGTAAGTATGTAAAGTATGTGAACAATGATCTTTTTATTTTTTTAAGATATGTTAGTTTTCTTAAGATATTTTTTTAAGATATGTTAGTTTTCTTTACCAATATTTATCTTTCTCCCGTAAGATAGTAAAAACTACAAACGTAAGATAGTAAGATAGTAAAAACTACAAACGTAAGATAGTAAAAACTACAAACATAATAAGGAAGAGATATTAACTCGAAAAAGAAGAAGCTATATTTTCTTAATGTACTATCTTCGCAGGGCGGTGATGGTGGGGACAAGTCAGACTCCACTAAAAATCAGATTGTCATGAAGTCGAACGAGTGGAAATTCAGGGTAACTTGCGGCGGTCCTTTTATCTGCTCTATTCTTTATCTCATAGCTTTGTAACCGACCGATGGAGTAATATCATTCTTGGAACGCAAAACTTGATCTCATCGTCATCAAAGAAAAAAAAACTTGTGCTTGTACTTTTCCGGCTTTACGTCATTGGGCTGCACCAGATAGTACACTTGTATGTCTTACAGGAATTTCACCATTCGCTGATTATGGCGACATTGTATTTTGTATTTCTCAGGATATCTGTATATTTTGCACAAAATTCTAACTAACTGAAATACTAATAAAATGAGAAAAGGGTATCGTGTGTTATATGGTTTTGTGGTTAATATTATCGTCAAGTAGGAAGTTTTGTGCAACAATTGTTTAAAAATTTTGTGGTTGTAATCCAGGATATTTTGATTGGTATATTCCTGCTTACGACTGCAAAGTATCAAGTAATGTACTAAGGAAAGTATTGAGGCGAGACAGTTTTTATATAAATGATATACGATTATAAAATTTATTAAAAAATTTATTTGAAATTGAATATATTAAATATATAAAAGATACTGCTTTTCTTAAATTTTCTGTCATGAAGCAAGTGGTGAAACTAATATAGTTAAAAAAAGAGAATATATATGTAAGGAGATAATATTCTCATTAAGAAAAAAAAAATAAGATTTGTAAGCGGTGCATGAATAATAATACGTAAAATGTGCAATGTACAGTTCGTATTGTACATTGCAAAGTCATCTCGAAGTCATGTTTATATAATTTAACTCTATATCATTTATATAAGCATCTAAATCTTGTACAAATCAGGCATGAGTTCAAGCTTCTAGAAGTTGCGTTAAATCAGACGTCGCAATCAAAGTTTCATTTTAAAACAAACACTCATAAAACATTGCTTTCGACATTTTAGTATCGACGTATACTTATCATTTTTAAAGATAGACGAAAATATAGATAATTGTTAAATTTTATTACGTACATGGTTATAATTTTTAACGGTTTATCACGAACGCAATTGTGAAATGTTTGTAATGAGATAAATAGCAAATGTTCTAGACATCGAAGCACTACAAATGCATATATCCAAGCATGTTGTTCAATAATAACATAAGGTTATCAGAGGTTGGATAACCCAGATGAGTGTTGCAAAACTTGTGCTAGATTTCTTTGAGGGGGGTCTTGTATGCACATTTTTGTTGTCGGAGTCATAGTAATCACATTGTTAATCAATTTCAAAGTATTTTATTCGATTAATTTTACATATAAAATATATTGCACATATGATTTTTTATTATCTTATATGTTATAGTTTATTGAGAAATTATTTGAAGTACTTATATTTGCATGATTTTATCACAGGTATATTTACAACAAAAATGGGTACTTATATTACTGGTAATTGGGTTACTGCATGAAAATAATGTATAAGACTAAAAATTCTACAACTCTCTAGATCAACTCTGGTTAGACAGTTATTGGATCTCCCATTTCTTAGATATATTTCTAGATTATATTGCAAAGTTAAAATATGTATGAAAAAAAAATATATATATACTATTGGTCATAATGTTTGTTAGAAAGAATTTGCAACCACGTATCTTTCTAAGTTTCTGAATAGTTGGGTATTTTCAGGATATTCTGCCCGTCCTGTCTACAGTGAGTATAATAGCAACGAGATTGTCGAGTGAAGCGTTTGCAATGATAACTCGATGAACCATTCGATCCGTAATATTATTTTGGGATTTAGATGAGAATTTTCTTTGTAGGACTAACCAAACTTATAATATCGTTGCAATACAGCACAGTGATATCCCCATGAATGAGTGAATGAATGAGACATTTGGTAAAAGCGTATTGATATACGAGAATGAGAGGGCAAAATATTAATATAATAGCTGTACATTGTTGGCAATTAGTATAGTGGGGTACGCACATGTATGTTTATTGGGTACTAATTACTTAAAGCTCGGTGTTATTGTCCAAGTGCACTAATCAAATATTGCCTATCCTATTAATGCTGTTAGTGCTTAAACAATATAGGAATGTCAATGTGTTATCTTAGTAATAATATCCTGTTGATACAGTGATTGTGGGGAGATCCCATTAAACAGTTATTAATTATTAAGCTTTTTGTGAACCTTACACTCAGTACAAGTACTGGTTTACTAAAAATATTTCATTATTTGCACAATGCATTTCTCTGCGTTAGACAATTATTATTAATATATAGATATATTTCTCCAATTTGCAGAACTATAAATTCTTTTGCATAATTTTGCACACACAACGTTAGAGCTGCACTTGCGCGCGACATTGACATACATTTGTTTATTAGAATTTATCTTTAAATTTATGTTACATACTTAAATGCCGATTTATTACCAACACGTGTTTGCCCTCTTGTTCATCTCATATCATCCTTTGCTATATGAGGGCAAGGGACCGAGATGCATTGTGTTCCGTTTTGCGTTCGTAATTTTAGATATATTTTGCTTCACTTACAGTTGTCGTTAAGAGTCTAACTGGGGTGCATTTGCAACATCGTTTTCTTGTAAAAAAAAATCTGTAAATATATTTTTATATGTACCTTTTAAAATAATATACTTTAGTATACGGCCATTATATACATATTTTGTCCCCTCTGATAAAAAGACGGAATCTTTTTTGACAATTTATTTGTAACATTTAGTAACTCGCTTCTGAGAAGCCCAGGCAGTCGAGATAAATATGGTGTTCGAAGTTTTTATTAATTTTCAAGATATAACAAACGAACTAGCTTGTAACTTTCTTTTGATTCTTCATAACATATTTTCGGCATGATTTTGGAGAATTTTAATAGCAATTTCTTCAAATTGCAGGATATATCCAGTTGCAAATGGACTTGAGAAGGACTCGTTCGAATACTCAGAATTTATCTGTTGAAATATATTTTACAGAGTCGCGCGCCAATCTCTGCGAAACTAGTGGCAAATATGCTCTCCGTGGCGGGTGCTGATCACATTATTACGATGGATCTGCACGCTAGTCAGATACAAGGATTTTTTGACATCCCCGTCGACAATTTATTCGCCGAACCAGCTGTCCTCAAGTGGATTAAGGAGAATATCGTTGAATGGCGAAACAGTATTATCGTTTCCCCCGATGCAGGTGGTGCCAAAAGGTACGTAGCCAAAAGATAAAAATAGCCTATATTGAAAGTATTGCATTTATAATTTTTCGCTCTCCCTTTTTATAGAGTCACATCTATAGCTGATCGATTAAACGTTGAATTCGCACTTATACATAAGGAGAGGAAGAAGGCGAACGAGGTTGCTAGTATGGTATTAGTTGGAGATGTCAAAGACCGGGTTGCTATCCTCGTAGACGATATGGCCGACACTTGCGGCACTATCTGTCATGCAGCAGAAAAATTATTGGAAGCTGGTGCAACGAAGGTGTATGCCATACTTACTCATGGTATATTCAGTGGTCCGGCAATTAGTAGGATCAACAATGCCTGTTTTGAAGCCGTAGTTGTGACTAATACTATTCCCCAAGATGGCCATATGAAAGATTGTCCAAAGATCCAGGTAACTGTTTCCGACATTTACATGACTTTCGTTACAATTACGATAACGATAATGAGGATAACGTTAAATACAACACAGAATAAACGAGAAACATATTCTTTCAGTGTATTGATGTCTCCATGATGTTTGCTGAGGCTGTGAGGCGGACTCATAATGGTGAATCTGTATCGTACCTGTTTTCGAATGTACCCTATTAGAAGAAAATCTTCCGTAATCTGTTTTAAGCCATGTAAGAAGAATATACTCTTTTTACATTTGTTTATTGTTATTGATAGTTGGACACTAATTCGTATATCAGCGCTCAAACAGAAACATTATGTGTCCCTATTCCAAATTGGAATCTATACTTGCCTCATTTTTTCATTAATTTCTACAAGTGTGAAGTAATTGGAGTTATGATGAAATTTTAGATAAGTAAATTATATATAATTATAGAATCTATTCATCTAAAAATTTATCACGATTTCTACTATATATATATATATCTTTTGTTTATATATATATATATATATATATATATAAATATATATATATATATAAATAAAAGAGGTTTTTCTCTTTTGGAGTATAGTAGTACAAGCGTTCTTTATTTTTCTACAAATAATAAAAAGGATGCATAGTACATATATTATAAGTTTTGGTGTGATCAAAGTTGCAATTTGAACTCCATTTAATTTAAGATATTGCATCGTTCGTTTTAAGAAAGATGACAGAATATTGATCTGGCGCCGTTAATAACTTAATGAAGTTGTATGAGAAGTATGTTTATGAATCATGATTTGAAAAAGTTGCTACGCATACAAAATTCCTAATATAATTTACTAGCACGAACACATTTCGTATTTAATTTAAGATCTGCAATATCTATATAAAGACAATTTTTTTATATATTGGCGCAAAAAATATATAAATCAATTTTCTCTTAAGTAAAATTATATTATAGAACGAACCCATCGAGCGTTGTAATTATCGCGTGTATGATAGAAAAATGGCACTGACTGTGTTTAACTTGATTATATCTTGCTGCAGACGATATTAAAATGAAAATAGTCCATGACGCTTAATAAATAGCCCAATTTTACTTTTGCATAGTAAATAACTCTGGACCAACATACGAATTTAGTCGAGTACAACTATAATATAATTGCGAATTTTTCTTACCTAATGAAAAAGTGCCATTTGTTAAATGATTGCTTATTGCAATAAGTATATGTAAAGAAAAGCATAATTTTTATTACAAATAATGATTATTTAAAGAAATATTACCTATATCAAATATTCCAAAACAACAGTCGCACTTTTTCCGATAATGAATTCCTTCACTGATTCGAAGCTGTTTGTTTTTTAATGGAAGTTGCGAAATACTAGTAACCGTTGCATTGTAATTGAAAATAGAATATAATGCAATAAATGTAATTTAGAATAAATTATGTTACTTATTTTCCTCATTATTCGATATAAGATTCGTAGGTGTATTTTTGCCTTGAAAATTGTTGAACCTTTTATTAATATAATTAAACGTAGTAAATTTATAGGACTTTAGGAAGCATTTAAAAAAGTATTCATATGAATTATATTAGATCTTGTTTAATATCATTAAGGTATTACAAATCGTGTGAAAAAGAAAGATATAAATTAAAATCTATATTATATACTTTATACATGCTTTGCATATAGGATTTAAATTAAGGCAAGAAACTCCTATATGTTGCACGCCCATCACATAGGGTTTTTTTAGCTTGTACGAAAAATTAGAAGTACTTTCGTGATGTAATATTATGCAATGAAGTATACGTTGATAGTATCGGACATCATCTCAAATGATAGTTTATGATTTTTGAATACCAGAAGGTAACGTTATATCAAATACTATCGGTGGATTACTTGGCAGATAATTCAAATCACACGTTGACGCATTGATATATATTACTTTGCCATCTGAAGATACGCCATATCCTATAAAATAAAACTATTCCCATATAAAGAACATATTTCTATATATTTTTTTTAAGTTTAGCGCGTTATACCTTCATGTATATGTCCGAAAACATGATATTTGGGTTTTACTCGATTTTGCACCGTCGACAACAATTCCACGCATCCAGCACGTACTCCACTACAGCACAGATCACCGTGACCTACAGGAGGGGTGTGCGTTACGAGGATATCCGTGTCTGATGGTATCATTTCCCATTTCGAGAGACATGGTTCTCCACGCGGTACATTAAATGCCCATTTACAAAACTCTGGTTGCCTAAAGTTTCAATGAAATGTGCCACAGAAATAAGAATGTTACACCTGAAATTATTTTCTACAAATATTTTTTCAGTTTCATTTTCAAGACACACGCATATATATAGTGTCCTTATAATTTTATCATAATTGAGTTTATCCTCTTTACAACATCAATGTAGAATGTTCATGAAACAGCTAATTTACATGTATTTTAATCTATAGAATACCTAAATATCAGACATCATCTTTATATTTTAAATGTAATGTGAAATTTGTTTCTTTTCCGTATAATTTTTTGTTTAGCACAACATAAGAGAGTTCCATATTTCATCATTTAATAAAATTAATATCAGAATATTTACCATGGAGTACCATATATCTTAATCCCATGCAATGTAATCTCAGAGTCTTCCAAATATATACAATTTGTCAAATAATCTTTAACATTAGTAGTTTTAATAGCTTCAGCAAGAGTGTCTTTCGACATACCCAGAGTGGGTATATTGTCAAGTATGCTGGTTCCTGTATGTTTTTGACGATCTCCACTAGTGTGCACGGAAAAGGGATGTGTGAACGTTGGATCAAAACTAAGCTCATGATTTCCAGCTATAACTATCTTGTGTTTGTGTGGTAAATTACCTGAAATTATACAATAAATATTCATATATATTTTTTTCTTGTAATTGTATACTTGTAAAATTTTTACAACCAAAATTCAGAAATGTCACTCGTACAACAATACTGCTAAATCTCGTAATTATACTTACCTATCCAATTATTAAAATCTATAACCTCTTGCAGACTACCGCATTTCGTGAAATCCCCGGCGTGGATGAAAACGTCACCGGCGGGTATGTCAAAATTTATGTATGGTGTGAGCGAATGCGTGTCGCTCATACATACCACCCGTAACTAAAAATTAAAGATTTGTTGTCAAATGCGCTTGGATAGATACTACTGAATTCATGGCTGTAAAATACTAATGATATAATCCAGATTTATCAATATTGATAATCCTGATAATCATTATTGATAAGCCTGAATGTATAAGCGAAGGTAGTTTTGAGGTTATCATAAACGCGTCTTTCTGTATACAGAGATCAGAGCGATAAAATGTTATCAAACATACTTTATCGCTTGGTGCTTCTGTCGTCGGCAATTTAGTATTTATTTTAACGACTTTTTGATGTTGAGATAACTCGTGCCAGGCTGCTGTTGGATCTGCTGTCAATGGATGAATACCTATCTTCATGCTGAACGGATAAATGTTGACAGCTTATCGTGTTCAAACCGTGTGCTGTACTTCACCTAACTGTACTTTCTTGCACTTTCTGCATATAAAGCAAGACAGACCCGCATTCAGTCACAGGAGCGATAAAGAGGAAAGCGAGAATCACGTGTCCATTCGCACGAATTTTCATGTGAATTTTCATGTGCTTCGTTTCCTAACTACTCGTGATGCTTGATATGTAAAACGATGTGATTAAAATTATCAATTTGAAAAAAGATCGATTTTCTCTCGAATGCCTCGTGAACCAAGACTTTCTCGCACCTCGATATAATTTTGACGGATCTCAGCATAACCTTGACATGTCCTCGTTTGACACATGTCAAACGCGCGTCAAGTAACGTCAAGTTTTCACAGCTCCTGAAAGATTTAGGTTAGCCAAGTCGTCCGACTTAAAGAACAATAACGAAATTTATACATAAACGATCATTTATCAGCGGCGAGAACGTTTCAAGAAGCATAATTTCAGGCGAATAATCACGAGATGAGGCGTAAGGCGGGTGTTGGGGCAATACAGAAGCAAAAGTTGGAGCAGGAGAAGTATCGGGACAAAGGCACGGAGATCCAGGAGAACCAATTCGAGCAAATGACGAAGCACATGGAGACGTTCCGCGTAAATCTGGAGGAGTTCGCGAGCAAGCACAAGAGTGAGATAAAGAAGAATGCTCGCTTCCGTCGTCAGTTCACGGAAATGTGCGCCTCGATCGGCGTGGATCCTCTGGCGTCTGGCAAAGGTTTCTGGTCAGTGTTGGGCATCGGTGATTTCTACTACGAGCTCGCCGTACAGATCGTGGAAGTCTGCATGGCGACCAATTACAAGAACGGCGGCCTGATCTCACTGGATGAGTTGAGAACGCGCTTGATTCAGGCCAGAGGACGTAGGAAGGAACATCAGGAGATCACCAACGAAGATCTGCTGGCTGCAGCTAAGAAATTGAGAATATTTGGCAACGGTTTCTCTGTAGTCCCCATCGGAGGCGGGAAATATTTGGTGCAATCAGTGCCCGGCGAGCTCAGCATGGATCACACAGCGGTGCTGCATCAAGCCAGTGTGTCAGCGAATGCATGCGTCTCCAAGTCTGTTCTGTGCAAAGAATTGAGATGGGAGGAGGACAGAGCACAGAAAGCTTTGGATCATATGATGAAGGAGGGGTTAGCTTGGTTGGATGAGCAGGGCGAGGATGAGACACTGTATTGGTTTCCTAGTTTATTCACAGCTTGTATCGTTTCCAAAGAATAAACTCTGCATCGCCGCCACGTCGAATAACGAAAATATTTTCAAAAGAAAATTGTTCACGTTGTTTCTTGCGATCTTTCTCGTAAATAAAATCGACCAATCTAGAATATTTACAGCGCCCGAGATCCGTCGCGATCGTTTTGTATCTAGCAGAGGATGTTGTCACCTGGTCTCAGGTCCTTGTACATAACTAAAATAACACAAAGAAGATGTAAATAGACACATCGTTTCCGTAATTGTTGTTTCAGTTTATGGTCAGCCCTTCACGACTTATGCTTGTTTCTATCAATGTCGATTAATTAATTTGAGTTTAAACTCTAATCAGACAAAGACTTAAACTTGTGTTAAACTTTGATTGACATAGAAACATACATTGAAGCGTTACGGGCATTCTTGCATTCAAGGAGGCCTTGAGAAAGTTTTACAATGCATACCTGTGAATAGTGTCCATTCTATATTGGGTAAATTGCTGCTTGCAAGCCAGTAGCGCTTGATGAAGCTCAGTGTTTTCTTTGCGTAATAAACTTATTTTACCGCGTAATTCCTTAGATTTTATTTGAAATCGTGCCGTTAAAGATTTTGCTTCTTCTCTCCATCTTGAAATGGAGTCAGATTTGTCAGAGTTAAGCTTTATACAATTCAATTATAAATCTCAGTTCAATATCAGTAGTTGTCACTTGAAACTTGTAAATATCTCATGTGAGAGATACTCCAACTTTTATTCAAAATTATTATTTTTTTTACACGTCTTATAAATTTATTTATTGTGTAATAACTAAATGAACAAACACACACACACACACACTATAAAAAATCAATGAAAAGCACACAATGAAAATTTCGATAAGATATTAATTTATCAAATATTTTTCTTCTAGTCTTTCTTTCTGTTAAAATAGTAAATATATATACTTCATACTATCTTATAAATAATGAGAAGCCTGATCGCGCCTAATTATGGTTTCGTTACGACCTTAAATTTCAAGTAACAACTATTAACACAAGTCTTGTTACTTACTTTTTGCTTAATTTTTGATGAATTGTCACATGTTGCGTCATTTCTTTCATTTTTTTGTCAAAATGTTCCTGCTGCTTGCTCAGCTGTTCGGATACTAAGGAATGCCAATTGTGATCCATATTTTCTAATCTGTGAGGAATATGCGAATCAACTTATTTATTTCATATAAATATGTACAACGCTATATACTTATTAAAGTATTGAGAATAAAATTATATGTACCGTATGTCCAAAGTATGCTTATTTATCGTATCCGTGCGATGCTGCGAGGGAACCTGTATCGGAGGAACATTGTCAGATTTATTCTCTATCACGTGATTCGCCTCTTGCAGATTCGCTTCCAGCTCGCGGATCCTGCTTTCCAACGTGCGTCGTTCGTAGTCTCGCTTGTGTATCTCGCGATCGAAAGCAGACTGTAGCGACTTCAATTCTGTCGCCAAGGATTCCTTGTCGCCCGCGGCTCTCATCAGCTGGCTCTCCAGATCAATATAACGGTCGATTGCATCTTTCGTCCTTTCGTCCGTCGATTTGAGGCGATCTCGCACATCCAAGGAACTTTGCTGTTGAATCTGACTCAGTTTCTCATTCGAGACCGCCAGCTTTTCCTCCAGACCAGCGATCTTCTCCCGCAACTGGTGCATCTCTGAACTGTACTGCTTTTCGGACGTCTCGTTGTACGCTTCTAGTCTGGAATCCGCTTGTTTCAACGCTTGTTCAAAATTCAGCAACTTAGCGCTCGATTTCGCCAGTAGATCCTCGGAATCCCGGCGCACTCTCTCGAGTTCCTCTTCCGCCAATCTGCTCTCTCTCTCTGAGCGATCCAACAGCGTCGCCTTTTCTCGCAATTCCGACTTCAGCTCCTTGATCTCCAATTGATATTTCTTCACGTTGTGCTCGTGAGCGTCTTTCAGCTTTGTGATCTCGCTTTGTATCTTAGCTATGTGCTCCTCAGCGATAGAGGCCAATCGTGCCTCCAGCTTAGCTTTCTGCTCTACAACTTGCGCCTCTCTCTGCAACACGAAATCCTTCTCCCTCACAGCGGACTCTATCAGATCCAGAGCCTCGGCCATCTTACATTTCGTTTCCTCGTTCTTTGCCAGTATATTGCCGGCGACTTTTCTGCTCTCGTTCAATTTCTTTTCTAGGTCTGACTTTAAATGACTTATCCTCTGCGTTTCTGCCCTCGCGGCAGACAACTCCTCTGTCAGCGATTGTATTCTCTGCTGGTTATTCCTGTCTTTAATGAGATTAGTGTGACACATAATACTTCTCACACATATATCTCAAATTAAGTACTATATAAGTAACCGACCTCTCTGCTGAGCGTCCTGTTGAAATTCTTGAAATTTCTTCATCAATTCCTGCTTCTCCCGCTGTAAAGTTTCTATTGTTTCCTTGCTGGACATCCATAGAGACTGCTGTTTTGCAAAATTTTCTTTGGCTTGAAGTAACTTGCTCTCCAGAGCCTTTATAGCTTCTGAGTATGATTGCCTGACATCTTTTAATTGTTCTTCATAGAATTTTATATCTTTACCATCTACTGGACGAGTTCTTAATTCCTGTTCCAGAGCGTCGACAGCTTTCATCGACACTTGCCATAGCTGCACTGCAGAGTCCTTCTCCATTTGCAAGACTGTAATATGTTCTTTTAAATTCGTGATTATCTTGTCGTGTACATCTCCATTGTTGCATTCTTCCAGGTGGATGCGTGAAATATAATCACGTACAGCATCATTACCGTCTTTAGTTTCAATATGCAGAGACTGAAGCTGAGAGCGTATACCATTTTGCTCTGTCTACAAAGAAGTGTCTGTATCATGTATAGAATTATTGCTACACAAACAGCTACTCAAAAACAACATGAAATTGTCACAGAATATAATACAGGTTGATGTCAAATGGACTGTTGTGAGAAATAACTCACTTTGCAAATCTCTAAATCCCGCTTAAGCTCGTCGACGATATCGTTATATTCTTGAAGAATAACGTGCTGCTCTCTGATGCGTAGAGAAAACGTATAAATTATGTATAAATTATTCAATGAAATGCATAATATATTACAAATTTTTTCCTAACCTCTTACTTACCCGCGTCTTGATGTGGCGTGCTCTGAATCAAACATCTTGTTATACGTAATAATTTATGATTAACACGATTAAAGATTATAAAAAGTTTTATTTTAGTATAAATAATTTTAAAGCAATTTAGTTAATATTCAAACAAATCACTCTAACAACACGGTCTCTACTGATATATCACGCACATTACACACATGTAATGACATGTAATCGTTAATATCGATGATAAATATATTAATATATAAAGGAAAACATTTTTGAGGCTTTACTTTATTGTTTTTAAGCAACATATCAAACGTTTTCATTCATAAATCTGATATTTAAGCGAAAACATCATAGAGTAAATAAAGGCACAAGTTCATTCGATTCTCTGTTTGGTCGTCTTCCTGAAGAATGAAAGTTTATCCAACTTGTCATTAAAACGTGCTGTTTGAAGATAGAAAATCTATTTAATTCGTTTTTTAGTCATCTTATTTGAAAATAAAGAATTTACTTTAATTTTTCATTTAATCGTTGAAATTAAGATTTATCCGGCCTATTGTTGAGTCGCACTACTTGAAAAATGTATATGTGTCAATTATAAATCTTTTCTTCTAGCGTGAAAAATGAAAAAATCTAATTATGAAAATACATAGAAATGTTTATTTTTTCGCTAGTTTGTGTTGGAAGAAAAAATTTATGATCGCTTCCAAATACTGCAAAATTAATCATCTTTCATGATTTCATGCTAGGAAAAAATTATATTATTTATAAGATGGAGTTCACGTAAAAAGATTTATGTGTTGTACTTATGGTCCTGGATACTTATTATGGACTTCTTCGGAATCAATTACGATCGGAAACATTCAGTTATTTCTTAGATTTCTATTGTCTTTTTTAGGGAAAAGGAATTATTCCGATCGGAATTGATTCCGAAGAAGTCCATAATAGGTACCCTGGATTCTAAAAAGATTTTGATATCCTAACTTCAGCCTTTATTCTGAACTTTTTTATCGATAAAAATGCCTCTGAATTGTAATTGAAAACAAAAGGCTTATAAGTCATATCAGAGAGAAGCCTGAGAGCGGCCACCAACCTGATTTTAGTGGACAGAGCTAATGGCTTCTGTACACAGGACGTGGTAATGTTTGCTACGCGCGGAAGTATGCGCGACAGCCAATCAATATGTTGTTTTTCCGTAAGAACTAGAAGGTTATTACGGAAAGCAGCATATTGATTGGCTGTTGCGCGAACTTCCGCCGCGCGGCAAGCATTAGGGCTATCGCACACAAATTGACATAACTGCATATGCATAGCATAAGATCGTATGGACCAATGAGCATCGAATATTAAGCATCGAACACCAATATGGCGACTTAATACTCGATGCTCATTGGTACATACGGTCTTATGCTATGCATATACAATTATGTCAATTTGTGTGCGATAGCCCTTACCGCGTCGTGTGTGCAGGAGCCATAAGCGCTAAAGTCACTTAATATATAAAAGGTGCGTTCGGGGAGCTCGTTATTAGCGCTACTCAGTGCTACCGTGTGATTAGGCGACAGTTTCCCGAAAAGTGGAGGGGATAATGTTGGTACCAAGAGAAATCTCTACACGATATAATTTAAAGATCTGTTTTTTGTAACTGCACTGCTGAACCAATGCAAAAGATTAGAGTGAGAAAACGTATACTTGCCTCATTTCAATTTATTGCACCAATTTAGCAGTGCAGTTACAAAGAACAGAATCTTTAAATTATATCGTGTAGAGATTTTCTTTGGTACCAACATTATCCTCTCCACTTTTTGGGAAACTGTCACCTAACCCTACCGTGTTATTCTATCCTTGTTGTATATCTTATGGCTCCTGCACACAGGACGCGGTAATGCTTTTCGCGCGGCGGAAGTTCGCGCAACAGCCAATCAATATGCTGCTTTCCGTAATAACCTTCTAGCTCTTACAGAAAAACAACATGTTGATTGACTGTCGCGCGGACTTCCGCCGCGCGGCAAACATTACCGCGTCCTGTGCGCAGGAGCCATAAAGAGCAATAAAGATAGAAGAACGCGATAGCGTAAATAGCGTGCTCCCCGAACGCATCCCAAGTACCGCAATCATCCGTTAACTTATGCCGGAACCGTAAAAAATTGACCAATCACAGTCGATTATTCTTTTATAAGTCGATTATGATTGATCAATTTTTTACGGTTCCGGCATAAGTTAAAAGATTACGGCCATCATAAACCAACCTTTAGTTAGTTGTCCGTTCTTTCAGTAACTAACAATCACGATTCATGCTTACTGAGAAACGATGCGCCAGATCGAAAAAAATCCAATTCTCTAAGTACCGGAAATATAAAGGCACTTATGAAGCTCCTAGTGTACATCGATAAATAAAGATGTTTTCTACGTTTTGAATCGTTTTAATCGCCCCTACGTTATCGACGCTTAGCAAGTTTGTGGTCCATTCAGCATCCCTTTAAGTCGGGATTCAAACCGAGGTGTTTTGAGTTTTCGCTAAACTATTAAGCCGGGATTCGAAACGACCAGTTTCCAGTTTTCGCTTAACTTTTAAGCCGAGATTCGAACCGAAGTTTTTTAGTTTCCGTTAAATTATTATTATGCAATTCGAATCGATGTGTTCGAAGTTTCCAATATTATTCATATTATTATAAATTATCAATTCCAATAAGATAAATTTTGTTTAAGATGCCTTTGTGTCACCTTGATATCTTTAAGGGTTGCTGAGAAATGCGCGAAAAATGCAATCAGTAGTAAAAAGACTGTCAGCGACGTTGAAAAGTACGCACGCTTCCACGGCTTATTTAACCAACTGTTATTAATAATATTACTATAGTATTAGTATTATTAGTATTATTGTAAACTCTGAATTCCAACAGGATAAATTGTGGAGAACTTTGTTTTCTTTGAATCACATTGATATCTTTTGTAGTTGTCGAAAAATAAGCAAAAAATATGAGCGGCATGTTTAAGCTTGTATATTTTTTTATTGTTTTATATTGTCCAGTTTCCAAATCTTTTTTCCTTGCAAAATTATGTAGAACGCAGCGCGAGAAAGACAAGACTGATGAGAGATCTAGTTTTGCGATAATATTGCCGCTAGTTCGCTTCGCGCCTACGTCGCGCGGTTCGCTCATCAGTGGTGAAAAGAATAGAGTGATTGGACGTCTGTTCTTTTCTAACTTATTATCATTGTACGAAAGTACAACGGGCACAAACCAGGTTTTATTGTACCACCGCGAAAATGCGCCTAACGTAGTAAAGGTACTTTGTTAGATGGCGCCTAGCTCTGGCCATTGAAATCAGGCTGGTGACCGCTCTCATGTTTCTCTCTGGTCATATTTCGAGATTTTTATTGATAAAGGAGTTCAGGATGAGAGCCTTCAAAGAACTTGAAAATAATAAAGGGTCTAATTATAATATATCTTTCATTTTAGACTCGAATTCTTAGGTCAGTATTTATAGTCGTGTTTTATATTTAAGACCGTCTTAAATTATTCTTCAGATATTCCGTAGTCAATGAAATGCTACGTACATCATCTGAAAATGAGCTTACGATGATCTTAATATAAGATCTTAAATCTAAGATCTTATATTAATCTTAAATATAAGATCCGACTATGAATATCGGCCTTAGCCAAGATTCAAACTATCAAGCGGATGAGCTTATTTGCGCAACCGCTAGATGGCGCAAATAGTATACCGCACTTGGAATCGGTCAGGCATCCGCAGTTTCAAACGAACTTTCGTGTCTTCCGCGTCTTCCGCGATAGGACAAGGAAAGATCTACAGTTGTTTGGCCCTTCAAGGTAATTCGATAGCTGTATATCAATAGTTAGTGCTAAATCTGCAGTAAATACGGAAGGTCACTATGCAGCTACTAAAGATAAACTTTACTCAATGAGTAATATTGCTTTTAGAATATCACCATGCGTCGGACATCGGAACGAAACGTCGCTCGCACGTCGCTACAGAAGGATTGCTCAGGTAAATATTCAAAGCAAATGAGAGCGTTAACATCTTCTCAACTGACACTCTGAGAGTTCAAAATTCACTCATCTGCTCTTTCGTGAGTAATAATCAATTGCATCTCTACGATACGAATAGCATACCTAACTCCCAAGAATATGTTTGCATTAAGATTATATTCATCTCGATCGCGCGTGATGAGTTTGTGTAAGAACGACATGTTCGTGCAAGTTTGCGAAAATGGCGGTCCGTTAGCATAAGCACAATCTATGAACGATGAACGGTAATTGCGAGATATACGTTACGTTTAATATAAGATTAAGTCTAAATAGTCGTACTTCATACTTAATCACGATGTCAATTCGTAATATCTCGGCGGGATCAATATTAAAATACTATGTCAAAAGAACATCGAATTAGTGCATTAATTTCGTGATTAAATTTTAATATTTTTATTACTTCAGCTTTTTTGACTAAAAGTTTAATATATAAATGGTAAATCAATCGATATACATCTTCATTAAAAAAATTTCATATAGTAACGTTGTAACGCGTTTCGATACTGCATAAAAAGGAAGCTACTTTACAAATTGCAGCCCTTTTTCAAGGGTTGGAAGACTGTAATATAATTCATCGTATAGTTGTGCATAGTTCGTTGCGTAATTTTCGTTTACAACTAGAGAGTAGGATTTCGGACGGAAGACGGGCAAACTAATAACACTTCCGTTGGTATTCGCCAGTTTCAGAACATTCCGGCGCCGTTAGGGCTAACAGGAGGGTTGCGGTGCCGAACGGCGCAGCGGCGCCGGCCACCCCCGAAAGGGGTTAAGAGCGCTTCCGGAGAGCAGCGAAAGGGAAACTTTCCGATCTCGTTCGGAGCCGGCGGCGGATGGGCCGAAGGGTGAGAGTAGCAGGAGGTGGAAATTCTGGCAGGCGTTATCTATCCGCCCGCGGGATATCGGCGAGGTTAGGCGGGGGTGGCTGCGACGCCGAGAGAGTGTCGGGACGCCTCGGTCCTCGCGCTCAGTCACCGCCCAAGCCGCGCCGCGAGCGATTCGTGGTTCGTCGCGTCGCGTGAGAGAGGCAGGAAGAGAGCGAGAGAACGAGAAAGAGAGAAAGAGAGTGCACCGCGTGCATATCTTCGCGCCCGCCTTGTCAAATGCACCGCAACCCCCGTCGCCGCCGCGCGCATCATCAGTTCGCTCTGATCGTTGCACGCCAGTAATCGCCCTCGTCCGCGAAATCGTGAGCGACGGCGAGAGTCCGTGACCGGTCGCGGCTGCTTTTAACCGGGTGTGAGGTTGGTGGTAACGCGAGGAAGAAGAACAAGAAGAAGAACAGAAAGTGGTGGTGGTGCCGCCGTGCAGTGACGAGGTGCATCCGCCGGCGCATCCTGAAGGCAACGCTTTCCTCTGGAGGCGCTCAGGAGGCAGTCAAGATCCATCGCCGCCCGGAGATGTCGGAAAGTCAAGGTCAGTGCTGTCGCGGTGCAACCGCGCGTCCGCTGAGCTCGTCAGCGTGCACGCGTGCAGCAGCGTCGAGTGGGGGATATTCGCGGGGGATAGTCCGGGGCGAACGAACGAACGAACGGGAGCGAGGATCCTCCGGATGTGTGGATGCTGATTAGCATGTGCAGTCGGCGCATTCGTGAGAATTATCGTTCCTCGACGATCGTTTATCGTTGTGCAGGCAAGCGGAACAGGGGATTGGGCATTCGAAACAACTCGCGATCTTGACTCTCGGCGAACGGAATTGTTGGAGCATGAATTGTTTCACAGGGGCTCTTCCCTTCTTTCCTTCTTCTTTTTGGAAGTTCCCGCCGCTCGCAGAAAATGTAGCGATGAGAGATAAGAGACGCTCCAGAGCCTCCGACGGCTCGGAGAGTCGGCGGAGTATGTTCAAGTGAGTGGAAGTGGGTCACCCCGAAAGAGTTTTTAATTTAATATCCCGTTTGTGACTCCCGAATATATCGTTCACTCGCCGCTGTGATATACGTAACAGTAAGCACGTCATACGGCCGCGGCATTCGGCTGTTTTACGGTCTCGGTGTTCTCGACCGCGAGAAATTTCCCTTCTTGGCAGGAACGTTTGGCGGTCCATATTTGTCAAGCGGCTCGTCGTTTGGCGATTGACGTGCTTGCAGGAACTATAATGATCGATATTACATTGTGTTTTATTGCTTTTATTATTATTCCCCGCGGATTCATCGGTAATCTCTCGATATTATATGTCTCGCGCAATCATATCACCTAATTTGCATTCGCAACAGCTCGTGCGCGAGCATGGAAATTGCCGATGCTCGAGGCAAAATTGGAGCGGTGTGCGCCACATCGTTCAAAAATCCGCGCTTCGTTTGTTTATTAATGTTTTTACGTACACAAAATGCAAGATTAAAACACTCCGGGGAGCTTACAGACCCCGTGTTTGCAACTCAATCGCATCCAGAGAGATTGTGTTATATATTTAAATCCGATAAATATGAAATATGGACACAAGTATTAATACACGATAAAATTAGACAATAAATTGAACAATAAATCCTCGTAATACGAGGTATAGTCATACACCGAGAGGTGTGGGCGCATAGCAGCGCACTTCACGATGCACACTGTATAATCTCAATCTATAATCATTCTGTATCGACCGACCGAAATGACGTTTCGCGATAAACTCTGTGAGCGCGCACCAAGTCGAATCCTTAATCGCGTTATCCCTTACCGCGCGACGGGAGAAGTTACGACGACCCGAAGTCACTCGCAAATGCAAATGAGGCGGGAAAACGCGAGCAGCCTTATTGCGTATTCGCGGCTTAGGCGAGCGCAATTTCGGAAAACAACAGGAAAGCCGAGGCGCTGCTCAGGCGTTTCCATCTTGTTTCGCGAGACCGCGCGGCGAGGAAGAGAGTAAAAGAAGGAAAGCACAGGTAGGCGACGTTTACGAGCTCGTCGCTGCAACTTCTTGATTAACATCGCCGGGTCGTGTGCGCGCGCACGCGTTCATAACTGCAGTTCTTCCGAAGTTTTCTGTCACTGGGACGATTTCGCAGGATTCGCCTTGGTTAGAGCTCATTCTCGGCCAACTTTCGAAATTGTGCCCCGATACTCTTCGCGTATCTCCTCTCATTCTCTCTGTCCCGTGGGACGCCACGTCGCGATTCCTTCGAACTCTCGATGTATCGGAGGAAAAAATCTTATGGCGTCGACGAATCTCGACAGTGGAGTTGATCTGAACACCGGCAATTCTGGTAATACAATCACTGCGAAGTGTCGAGGAAAGTTAAATTAACTTCCGACGCTTAGTAGTCGAGTTGGCGTTTCCGCTGTCGCGAAGACTGTCATGTGGAGCTCGAGTTCCGAATTCCTGGACTGGAATTGCATAATAATGTAAGTGCCGCGAGCATACATAGTATTCGATGAGCTTGTTTTATTAAGTCAAAGCCTTGTTATCGTCCTGAACGAGGAAGCGAGGAGAGCGCGATATTGCAAAGTAAAGTTCACGCGGTATATCGCACACGAAGCGTACGACGAAGCGAACGAAAATAATATGTAAATTGTGCAAATGCAAGAACACCTGGCACATTGTTTTATATTCTGAGAGTTTATAATTCTCAATATCTTTGGTGGGGTCAACTTATACGTGTCATCTCTTATATCAAGGATACATAACTCGCGCTAATATGCAAATGATTATTAGTGTCTCAACAGGTTGAATGGATTTTTAACAAAATTTGCGTGACAAATGTTCCACAATTGTAAAGCAATTTCACGTTCAGTATGTCATGAAGTGAACGTATGAAGTGAATGTATAAATTATTCAAAATGTAGAAACATCTGATACTCTTTCGCTTTATATCTCGAGAATTTATAATTCTCAATATCTCTTTGATAGGATCCATTTAATTATATTTGTAATGATTAATTTCAATATCATCTCTCATATGGAAGATGCATAATTCGCTAATATGGGAATGATTATCGGTGTCTTTCAGCAAGTTAAATGGCTTCTCGACAAAATTCGCGCGCGACGATCGTTAATATCCTACAAATGTTCCATGAGCGTAAAGCAATTAATACGACGTCCAGCAGTGACATCGTAAATCGTCGAGATCGCGCTTCATTTACGCGAAAGGGGCAACGACAGCGCGAAGGATTAATTATGCCGCGCTAATTTTGTTTCTCGTTCGCCATTTTCCGCTGGTCGCGTCTTGGCCGACTCGCGAGCGCGATATTATCTCTCGCCGGGTGAGAACGCGATGCACACGCACGGGGAATCGCGAGCCATAAATTCGAGTCTCTGTCATCTAATTACCACTCCTTCCGTTACACCCCTATGTATCGCTCTCGAGAGACGGCGAACAGGGATCGTGAGGCGACCGGGTAATTCCCGAAGCTGTAATGAGCAGTCGTTCTCCCGGACGATTATTATTCTTGTGAATCGCATCGGGCGATTCAGATTTTTCCATGAGAGAGAAGGTGAGAATATGAGCCACTTTTTTGCTTCAAAAATTCAATATTAAATAATATTAATTGCCTCTTAATATTAAATAATGATAATTGCCTCTTAATCAATAAATGCAAAAACATAGCTGCTATATTAGCTATGGTAAATTTCAAAATCGCAAAGTAGATAATTATTGAAAATACTATATATAATAACTGTCAGCACACGGAGCAAAATAATTTGCTGGCCTAGCAAATTTTCTGCTGATCTAGCAAAATCTTTTCGTTATTATATGGACAGCAAAAAGATTTGCTAAGAGTACTATTTGCTGGATATAATTTACTGAATCTACAAATTATTTTGCTATAAGAACCATGATGGATTTATACAAGCAGTTGCAGTTTTGCTCCGATAACAAATAAATTTGTTAAGGATACATTATTTTGCATCAATAGCAAATTAACGTGACTTTTAGGACAAATACATTCAACAAATTTTTTCCATCCTAGCAGCGAAACTATTTCTGCTCTGATAACGAATAATTTGTGAAATTAATTACATCAACTAAATTTTTTTCATGTCACTACGAATATGCAGTAGCAACGACGATTTTGCTAAAAGAGCAAAATTATTTTTCTCCGTGCAGTGTTCAACAAATATATCTCTTACAATATATTCATAATCAGGAAAAAAATTTACTGTTCAAAGAGCATAATATTTTTTTGTGTTCCATATGGAATGAATATCTTGCTGCATATAGAAGACCATGATCCATGTTACTGATTGCTATTTTTCAAATAATTCAACGAATCTTACTGAAAGTAAGAAAAATATTTCTAAATAATTGTCTACTCTACATTTTTTAAGTTTATCATAACTAATATAGTAGATTATCGATTAAGACAGGAACAAGATTTTTTAATCTTACTTTGTGAAAAATTTTAACAGGAAGGAAACGAAATGATTTCTCTTAACACTGTAAACACTGTAAACGTGGTGCTGACATCAAACTCCTTGATGGCTGAAGATTTTAATGGTTACATTTATTTTAGTGGTTACTGCCACATATCGTATCGCAACAATTGTTTAAGAAATCAGTCTAGGTTCATATTTTACCACTCTGTTCCATATTTCCAATTTTTTTTCTTCTCTATACTTTTTTTTATTCGCTGACTCCTTGATCAATTATTGAGGCATAAATGATTGGTAATTCGTTCAATTTTCATACTTTAAACTTTGGACCGCGTAATTAGATGAGGATATCTGACTTTCACGTGGGCCTTACTCCGGCAGAATTTTAACTTGAGAAAATAGTTTTAAGGCGAGACATTCAAAGTCCTGATGAAAATTTTATGGAGAAAGATGGAACCCAATCAAACTTTCAAGGGAAAACGGACGCTAGATTGATCAAAGAATGTCCGGCTGAAAGAGAATACAGGGTGGGTGCTTTATATAGAGTGTTCAAGATTTACTGCGTCCCTTTTCAACCATGGACTCTTTTACGAGCTTGGCGTCGGCTCTCCCTTAGCGCGAAAAAGGGTGACAGGATGCTGTTGTTCCAACTTGGTCGTTATAACTTTTTACTTCGCGACGTTAATTATCTCAGCAATTAAACTTTCAAAGTTCTATTTATTTGAAATCTGTTAAGTAGTGGAGAACAGTTGCAGTACACGACACGGCGGAATTCCACGATGCTTGTGGTATTCCATCGAGATCCCAGCCGAGAGAAAGATACCGTCGGTTTATTTTAATCGCTCATAACGAACACGTATCCGTCATTTATCAATATTTTACTCGTCGCGGCATTAATAAAGCCGAAGCGCTCGGCGACTGAGTTCTCGGGTAATCTCTCCGAAGAACATACATTTTTAAATCTTCGCAGGATCTCGTGCGGAGGGTGACACGCTCTCCTCCGGGAAAGATAACGACCCTCGATCCGTCGTGAAGTGAGATGTACTCTAGATCCATCTCGGCGGAGAGCACCCATTTACGCTCATCCGTGGTGTATAAAAGAGTCCCTGTATCTCCCGCTTTGCGTCTCTCGCTGGCGAGCTCTCCCTTGTGTCTCATCGTCGAGCTCTCTGTCTCTTGTAACCACACATTCGTCCTAAATCCCGCGAGACGATTTGATCTACACTAGTATGTGACACGTGTCGCGATTTCATCACCTGATCATCACTTGGTTCATCTCTTTTTTCCTCCTTAATCAATATCACTATCAACCTTTACTATGGTTTATTTGTGGATGTATCTTAAGAAATTATCATAATTATGTAATTACGTAATTATGCAATTATGAAGGAAAGATTACGGTGGAAAGATCCCGATGTGTCTATTCACTAGATGTAATCTGCAACACCTGTTTATATGCAGGCTGCTATTTCTTTAAATGCTTGTTACAACGCTTGTACAATCCGAAGGGATGACTACCTCCAAAAACATATATTTTCTCTCTCTCTCTCTCTCTCTTTCTCAGTCTCGCGGAAGTGAAGTCGAAACCTACTAAAAATACGAATAAGGAACGAGGCGCGGGACGGTGATTTATCGGAAACGCGCTCTCAAGATAATCGAGGCGAATCGCATATGTCGAACCGTTTATTTGTACGTGTACGTCAATCGACGGGATACGTCTGATCGATTTCGACGTGTTTGCGCGCGAAACCCGCTGATACCAAAGGGATCTATGCAGCGGGCGTTTCCGGCAAAAGTGTTCGTTTATGGATTTTTCTTGCTTTGAACTGCGCGCACACACGTGTAGCGCGATCGTGTGAGCGTCGCGTGATTGCGGCTATTTGAATTTAACAACCTATCAACACCTTTATTCGTTTCTCGCGCTGGACACTGCGAGTATCGACACTGTCCGACCCTTTTGTCGAAGGTACTCGTTACCTACGACCTCGCGTTCGATCGAAAAACAGAATTTTCCGCGAAAAGAATTAAATCTACGCGAATTCTAATTACTTGGATAATTAATATCCATTATATCCATTTGGATAATTAATCCACTTGGATTATATCCACTTGGATAATTAATATCCATTATATGATCATTGTCCTTTGATTGCTTACATTGCTTCGGTTGCAGTTTTGTTGAAGTTTGAAAAAAGATATAAAAAATCACTTAATATTCTATTATCTCTCGCAATATAGTTTACTCGGTTAAATTGTTCTGAATATCTTTCATTCCATTAAACAATGTGATTAAACAATTAATTATGCGATTTACGCAATTGTAGGTGGAGTATTGTGATAAATAAATATTAAATGATCTAATAAGCATCTGAAAAATAGGTAAATACAATAAGAAACTTCTTTTTTACATGATATATTTACTATTATTTTTTATTCGGGATAGAAATTCGATAGAATTTGAGAGGAAATTGCGAAGAATTAAAGAAGAAAGAGTTGTAAGAGCCTCGCCTGCTTTCTTGCGTCCTGTAATCCGTCCTGGAGTCCTGATTGTCATCGTAGCTGAGCGCTCAATGATGTCACGTGAAATACGAATCGGTCGGAAACGCGGCGTTAATTAACGATTGAGTGTTGATCGATGTCGATCGTCGAACATTATAAGCGACATTTCCAATATCTCCAACGCTATGCGTTTCACCGTCCTGGTAATTTTATCATTTCATAATTTGATAACCCCGAAAATCCGGAATATTTTGAGAGCGTTAATGCTGCGATTTCTTCGACGTCGCGTATCTTGTCATTAATCAGCAGGCGACGATGGCTCGCAATCGGCGGGAAGTGACTTTGCCCTTTCGACGGCGCGTATTGTTTTGATACTCTCGCGCGCTGTATACTTTCCCGCGAGACCAAGTCATTACGTCTCGAGCCGACGAACAATACGCATACCACGGCGCGGAGTATGTGTATCGGTACGTTATTTACATTTTCTCGCCGGTGATAGAAATGTATTCCGCCGACTTTGAAGTATGTCATCGGACTCTCGTGGGTATCGCACTAATTAACACCCGTTTCTCCGATCGAATCGTCGTATCGCGAGTGTTTGCGTCAGTGGTGATGAGTGTCCTGTGCGACGAAGAAATCAAGAGTAGAGTGCTGAGTCTGAGAAGCCAGGACGGAGGGCGCAGGACGCCGGCGGGATGATACATCATAGATTTCCAGGTGCGTCAAATCACTTATTATACGTGACATTTTCGATATTCCAAGTCGAGATTTAGAATTTATTATAAGGCCGAGATTTGCCACCTGTTATTGTTTGTTAAATAATTCCGTTATAGCTAGCTATTGGTAAATCTGTAATAATACATGTCATATAACATAAAATATCAATGTAAACATATGAATAATAGTAATCAAATTTCCCAGTCCTGAATTTGAGACACTTCATAAATGTGAAGCGGGGGGAGGGGGATAAAAAGATCCGAAAATTATTTGAAAATGATGACAAATTGGTGTCCCGAATAGCATTCGAAAAAATTCGGGATAAAGGGTGAAAAATCGGGACGTCTGATCACCTTAATAATAGCCCATAAATACGAATCTTTTACAAGTAAACCTACTCAAAAGTTACACTCCGATTTCTTTCTAATTTAGCACAAATGTAGAAATACAAAAAAATATTCAGGTCATATTTTTTTATTTTGGCCCACTTTGAGTTTTACGGGCAGTTTATAGTTTTGAATGTTTTCACTCCTATCATCAATAAATGCAACAAAAATGCATAAGAAATAAAATTTAATATAAGAATAGGCGTTTTTGGTTTGCTGATTATGAATATGAAATCAAATGTGTAAAATTATTTGTATAAATAATAAAATGTTTTAACAAAACATGTAAAAAATTATTTATAAAAAACAATTTTTCGGTTCGGCCGAGATTTGAACTATTTTCGATTAATTTACCACAGATTTGAAATATTTCGGTTGGAATCTCGGCTAAAGAAATTTAGAATGGTTTGTGTCTCAACTATGCTGATTTTGTTAAAATTATTTAACTATATCTTGTATTCAATTTTATGTCTTATGCATTTTTGTTGTACTTGTTGATGATAGGAGTGAGAACATCAAAAAATATAAACTGCTCATGAAATTCAAAGTGGACCAAAATGAAAAAATATGACCTAAATATTTTTTGTACTTCTATATTTGTGTCAAATGAGAAAGAAATCGGAATATACCTTTTGGATAGGTTTACTTGTTAGTATGTCCAGAAATCTAATTTAGATCCTTATTAATGTTTACATAACATATATAACAACCGTTATCTTAGTCTTACAATTCCTATCTTTACATTTTTTAATATATTCAAATTTTAAAATCAAAATCCCCAACTTTAATAAAAAAAAATAAAAATAACAAAGAGTTATAAAAAGAAAAATTTGTTGTATTATTTAGCTATATTAGTTATTTCATATTTATTTATCGTACACATATTCCATTTGCAGTTGAGTAAGTTATGATTAATGCACTGTTTATTGGAACTAAAAGTAAAACTTAAATGTAGATAAAAAATTTAACAATCGACTATTGAGTAGTTCTTGAATAAACGCTTCTCGAAGCCTCAACACGGCCTCGAAGCCTAAAAACGGCAATAAGTAATTATTTGTATCAAAATAGAAAAATAGGCTCTTTAAATATATATATACATATATCTCTCTCTGGATTCTGCATTAATCCTTCAAGTTTGACGATATTTGCAGGATTAACGTGATACCAAAGTATCGGATATTTTTCATTTCAACGCGATAGACGTAAAATCTCCGTTTAAGAGCTGGCAAACGGCAAGGCTGTGAAATATTCCAACATTAAGTACAACAGCTACGGGATTTGCATTGTAGGAATAATCGTGTTTCTGAAAAGCGAAAATGGGACCCGAGGCGGGGAGCGACAGAGTTAATTTATACGCCTCGGGGTGGTAAGGACGCGCGCATATACCGCACATTTGTTTCTTGCAGCGCTTTTGCGCTCTGTCGCGTGTCACAGACGTTCGCCCGGACACGAATAAACCGAGTGATACAATTTAACGGCGTTCTCTTGCAAATAATGCGCGCCATAAGCCCGCGACTCGCGTTTATGCATATACTCGAGGGTCGCGCCCCGCCGTGTCTTCGCGCGACTTTATCGCCTCGCCATGTTGCGCACCCTTGGCTGCCACCACGTCGTTCCGCGACGTCGCGTTCTCCGGCATCGTTATCCGATGACGTTCGTAAACTTTGTTGTAAAACGCGCTCGTATCGCGCGCGCGCAACTCGTAATAAGTCGTAAAGGAAATCGCGTTGTCATCGCGTAAGTTGCCGGCACCCCCACGTCGAGTTTAACTCAAGCGGTCGCTCCGCATATCCCGTCACGACCAATCCGTTTTTCTGGCTTCGCGAGGGCGGCTTAACCTCCCTTCCTCTCTCTGATCTTCCCTCATAAAATATGGAGTAAGGCACTTATGCAGGGAACCATTCGAGCTTCGAAGGTTTCCTTTTTCCTTGTCTTTTTAACCACCTTTCAGCGGAAGTAGCGAAGGAATCACACGGACAACGTATATACTATAATAAAGACCTCAACGCGAATGCTCAGGCAGTCAAAAGAATCGGGCACAATCAATTATGTGTGTGGGCGAGCGGGTGAGTGGAAACGAAGCCGTGTCGGGCCTGAAGCTATATTCGGCCCGGGTGTGCATTAGCGAAATTGCTCCAATTACTTTTCCCAATCAGAATGACGCTGTCCCTCGACGTCCTACGAGGGTTTCGTACCGGCGAAAGAACGGAGGAAAAGATCGCGAGGAAAGCTCCCGAAACTTCATCTCGATGTGTACTTAATTAACGACCGAAGGAAATTCGCCTCGGCGGGGGGAGAGCGAGGCGAAGTGACAATCGTTCTTGCCAACCAGCTCACAAGTCGTCCCCGTGCATAATCCGATCGATTAATTTCTCCCGAGGAGACCAAGACTAAGAAAACACGTTTAACACCTGGCGATCTCGTTAAAAATAACCGCGCCCGGTGCAAGCGTGTTATCGCGCGCAGTAGAACGTCAAGTTCGCCGAGTGGGCGAAAAGTGAGGGAATTAAGATACACCGGCGAAGAAGAAACGAGGCAGGATGAAGCTTCACTTTTACACCTGCACCGACGAGGAAGGAGAGGGAGGATGAGGAAGAAAGAAAACAAGACGAAGACGCCTCGCTTGAAATATACACCAAGTGTCGAGAATGTGTATTGGAGCCGGGACATGTTAATTAAAGCATGGCGAGAGCGAGCGGGTGCTTCTCGCTCGCGCCGGGCTGAAAAAGCGCAGAGCAAATAAATAACCGGAGATCGGCGTAGCCATAATTACGCCCCCGCTGTCTCGCGGCTCCTTTTTTCCTCGAAAAGTCCGCGCTCCCGACTCCTCGACCTGGTGATGGCAGGCATTAAAATTCTCGTTAAAGTTCACCGCATCCGCGCAGGAGGCGATCGCTCTCAAGGACCTTCGCTCTGATCTCGTTTGAGCGCGCGACCGCGCTGCCCCTCGGAAGAGCCTGGAAGTGTTCTCTCTCTCTCTCTCTCTCTCTCTCTCTCTCTCTCTCTCTCTCCGCCTGAAAATCTCTTATTATCCTACTTCCACGTGGTTCTTCATCGGTCGCGAATCGGGGTTATCCGGGCACTCGATTATTCGGGTCATCCAGGGAGCGTTGCGCGGCCTTTGTGCCGTTCAACGTCCGAGGACACTCCACTGATTGTTTCAACGAACGATAAATAACTCTTTTACGATTTAATGAGCGCGCGTTCGGGTTCACTGTGCCATAAAACTAATTACATAGATGCTTTACGTTAACTGCATTATCACCAGCACGATTCGTGTATAATTGCGCTCATGCGGCGGCTGCTTCGCCATTTTGTCTTTCGGACAAAAATGGCCGCGACCGAATATTTCGATAGATGCAACGCCGTCGCGGACGGCAGCGTGTGATTTTAAGCGCAAACTTTTTTTACGATACCTACACGAAGACTGTTCGAATAATTCATCATACTTCAACGATATCGTCGTGCAAATTATTAAAGTAATTTACGTATACATTGAGTTTGAACAAAACCTTAACATTTATCACACGTGATCATTCATCGATCTTCTTTGATTAATAACTTAAAATTTTACGTGGTTGTTTTTGCGGAATGGTAGAGGAATTCTGTGTGCAGTTTTTGATGAGTTCTACCTATACACCGCGTTTGTGTATATATATATATGTGTGTGTGTGTGTGTGTGTGTGTGTGTGTGTGTAACAAAAAGTGTCAGAAAATTGTCAGAATTACTTTACGTCTTGTGTAATAAAATAATCATAATCCACGTACATATCCAGACATAATGCAAACAATTTAAGAGACTAATAAATTTTGATCTAATTAATGTTAACTAATTCGCCCAAGCTTAACGCATTTGTTTACGAGATGATTTGGACACTTTTCTTTTGACATTTTTCAAAATTAAATTAAATTAAATTAAATTAAAAGATCTGTCTTATGAGAATTACTCAGGGACAAATTTTCACGTTGAACTGCATTCCGAAGCGTGTCGAAGGAAACATGTTTGTACGTCGACGAAGGGATCGCTGTTTGGGAGAGACGCCGTTAAAGTTATTGCGATATATTATCATTCCACGAATTCAAAGTATTCCGCGGCAACGCGTTGCACCGTCGGCATTCGCGAAACGCGCGCGGAAGCCACGCAGAACGAAAGTCGCTTTCTGAAATTCGCGATTCGCCGAATCGCCTCGAGGCATCGTTCATTCGGAACTTTTTCATTCCGCGCCGCTTCTCACTCACACTTACGCGCGTCCCGGATTTATTCCGCGCCCGATCGCATTCCGCGCACGGAGAGCGCCTTGCATTAAGCCGCTTGCAATATGTGCCGCGTATCACGTGCGCGTGCAGGATACGTGCCGAGAGAGAATCCGCGAGATTAGGAGTCGCACGGTGCACGGCGCGCTCGCAATTAGCAGAAACAATCGACGGCTACCGATGAATAAAGCGCGACGCGGGCAAAGCCGTGGATTTGTGTCTCATTCCTATACGCAGCGAATGTACTTCTGTCCCCGCACTCGATATGACGTTGCGCTCTCGCCGCGCGGCTATCTTGTTACCATTTGCATGCGTGCGATTTGCATCGCTATCCAGTGCGGATGCAGATTAGGATGCAAC